AGCTGCTGGTGAACAACGCGGCCGTGGCGCTGCTGCAGCCCTTCCTGGAGGTGACCCGCGAGGCCCTGGACCGGTGAGTGCCACCGCTCCCACGCCGCCCAGAGCGGCGCCCCGGCGGTGGAAGGTGCGCTGTGCTGCTCTTTACAGAACAGTGAGCACAGTATTTGTGGCAAAGCTTTCCAGAAATTGGGATCTGTCATGAGGGAGGGTACCTGGTGAGTAGGCACCGGTGTGTCTCTCTCTCTCACACACACACTTTTGGAATGCCTATAATACTCACTTTCTCAGTGGTTTATTGGTTGTTACTGGTTTTGACTGCTTTTCTTTATGTAATCACCTTTCACCCTGTTTCTAAACGTCAGAAAGAAGCTAAGGAAGCACTGTGGCTATTTCAGGCTGCTACTGTGCAGCCAGACCCTTGCAGCTTCAGCTCTTAACATGGCAAGGCCCCCTCCAGCCAACCTGGGCAGAAGAGGAGTGCCCTTTGCTGTTAGGCAAGCTATTTACCCAGGTCTTCAGGGCTAGCACTGACCCGGTCCCTCCTCTATTGAAACACAATGGTTGAGTAAACAATTCCACTAGAGAAGACAAAGCTAGGTAAAGGAGTATAAATCAGGGTGGAAAATTAAAAATCACTTATTTTCTTCAACAACAAAGTATCATTTCTAAAAAGATCTCTAGTTCCAGTTGGATGTGAGCTTTATGTTATGGGATATGGTGACTCTGAGCAGCTAGATCATGCTTTATCCCTTCATTTAAAAAAAATGGCAAATGTGGGGCTATGCTAAAGAATTGATTGATTTGTAGCTAGATTATAAAACGCACAGGTCTACTTAGATCATTGCTTAGAATGGGCTGGTGACAACCTGACTAAGGAAGACTTACAAGGCAAATACAAGAAATGCTGTTTCTACATATTGTATAGGAGATGTATTTGTTGCTTTAAAGCCTCGTGAAGGTTTGACTGGCCTAAGAGGAGGCACTGGCTCAGGCCCAGGCCTCTGTTTAAACTTTAATGAAGGTACTAGATTAGTCTGCTGAAGGAGAGTCCCGCTAGAAATAATGTGAGGAGGCAGACTGCACCTCTCCCTCTACACAGGGGAAGAGGCCACTAAATAGCTTACTTCAGATGAATGGTTATTGCTGAAAGTAAGCGTAACCATTCTTGCTAGCCGGTCAGCCTGGCATTTCTATCTATGTTCTAGAGTTTCACCCAGCGTTTCCAAGGTGCTAGCAGCACTTGTCCTCTCTCGCCTCCCCAAACGAGTCCTCTCTGGCCTGGGCTGCACCTGCTCTGTAACTATTTGATTTGATTTATTTGTAGGTCTCTTGATGTGAATCTTCGGTCTGTGCTTCATGTCTCCCAGGTGAGGAGGAATTGTGACTACAGTTGTGTCAGTGAGCAACAGCGCTAAGTTGTTCAGCAGAGTGGAGATGATAAGTCTCTACTGGAGGCAAAACCAAAGTTAAACCTGACTATTTGTGCCTATTGTCCCTTTGCTCTCTTGCTTTGATGCTCTCTCTTATTTTAGAAAGCGTGAGGCCACTAGGACTTATTTCCTCTTGATATTTTTGGCTCTCTTATCTACTGCAATATCCCAGAAAGATTCCCACTGAATGGAATGGTGATTTCTCCCTCTCTGATTCTGGCATCCCTTTTTCTTTCAGATTGTTGCTCGGCAGATGATTGCACAAGGGGTGCCAGGTGCAATTGTAAATGTCTCTAGCCAGGCCTCTCAGCGTGCTCTGCGGGATCATGCTGTCTACTGTAAGTGTGTGTAGCTTTAACATTGCCTCTCTCATCTTTGACTCGCTGGGGACTCACAGCCACCCAAGAGCTGGCTGCCAATTTTGGGCAGAGTGAAATACCTCTGTGTGTTCCACACCAAGTGCTACACTTAAATGCCTCGGTTTTCCTTTCTACTGAAGGTTCTACAAAAAGTGCTTTGGATATGCTGAGCAAGGTAATGGCAATGGAGCTGGGACCCCACAAGGTACGATTCTTTCTGAGAGGAAGAACGGTTTGAAAACGGAACAAGCATGAGTAGTTCCTCTGAGAGCAATTTGGTTACACAGTGTGTTTGTTGTTCTTGGCCCCAGATTAGGGTGAACACTGTGAATCCCACAGTGGTTATGACTGACATGGGGAGAATTAACTGGAGTGACCCTCAGAAATCTGCTGCCATGATTAATCGGATTCCACTGGGAAAGTTTGCAGGTCAGTGGTGTAGATTTGTTACCAGGCTAGGCTTCTTTGCGATAGCCAAGCTTTCCCCCTAAGTGACATCACAGCCATAGGTATCTGGCTTATTTTGTGGACAAAGTCACAACTCTGCTGAGTGGCTGTAGTTGAATTCATGAATCACTTGATGAGGACAGGAAAGACAACCTTCTCTCTCTCCTCTTCTAGAACCCTCTCAGTTTAGGACAAGTGGAATGCACTTACTCTACTATTCATAAATATGATTGAGTGGCAGGGGGAAAGTATGTGGGGGCTTGCTGTGAACTAAATATCTATTGTGTGACTGCAACAAGGATGTCCAGCTCTTATTCAGGCTGCTCAGCTCTCATCTGGGCTGCCCTGTGTATCAAACCAAATACAGCCAAAGGGGGGAAATTCTTCCCTGCTTCAATTACGTTTAGAGGCCAAAACATACCTTTTAGATGCTTGCTTTTTCTAGTACCGTTTCAAGGGTGCATCGGATGTTCTCTGTGTGTTTGATTCCAGAGGTGGATGATGTCGTGAACGGCATTCTCTTCCTGCTCAGTGACAAGAGTGCTATGACAACTGGCAGCTCATTGATGGTTGATGGGGGATTTCTCGTCTCCTAAGATGACACCTGCATTTCACACCTGGCCTTAATTTTCATACTAATAGTGCATAGATGTAAACTGGATGTAAAACAGTAAGTGGCACAGACCCAATGATGCAGGAGAAGAGGGGGCAGCAGGGCTGGAACCTGTATGAGAAGTGAGGCAAAAAATTACCCTTAGGAGGCTTCTATATAATAAAGCTCACATACGCCGTCATGGAGAATGTTTATTGCACCAAATAAGGTTTTATCTTTTCACTCTACATGATGATTAGAAACTGGACCTGTCTTTGTTCCAACCCTCTCCCCCCCACAACCCTTTGGAAGCTCTCCCTGTTCCATCCAAATCCATAGAGTCCACCTTCACTTTCAGTGGGAAGGGAAGGGAGAAGCTAGCAGTCTCCTCATTGCTTCCTTCACTGTCTTTAGTAGAAAAAAACAAAACAGAGGCAACAACCTCAGCCCTGCTCTGCAGAGACTGGATTGCGGGGGGGAGGCCCTGCTAAAGACTGATGAGGAGGGAGCAGCACCATGCTGTCCTATGGTGCGCACACATTAAAAGGCAAATACAGCAACTGCACAGGGCTGTTTCACTCACTGAGTTTGGCTAGTACCCAAAAAAGCACCTAATGATTAGTTCTTCAGCCTTGCATCTCTCATTTATTTTGACCCCTTCAGGAGCTGGTTAGGATTCCTGTAACAGTCTCAGGCACATATCTGCATGAGCACCGATTTGTTAGCCACAGCAGGCTGGGCAAGGAGACCCTACTACTCTCCTAGCTGCTCTTGTCATTCAACACCATTTATATCAGCTCCTTCCCCGTTCCCACAAGGATCTTCACCACCTGTTTCACCCTGCAGGTACAAAACAGGTGTTTCCAACACAGGATGGATGTCTCAGCTCTTTCAGCTTGGAGTTCAGGAGAGTCACAACAGCCTGTTGCCCCAAGGAGCTACCTTGCCTTCCCCACTGTACCTCCCCTGGGGGCTCCACAGCCCCCTAGCTAGTCTCCTGCCCCCACTGCCCCTTCACATCAACACTGACGTTAAATCAAAGAGACATTTAAAAAACACTGACTTCGTACATGATGAAGGGCCCTACACATCCCAGCCCCCTCCAGAAACACTCAGCTAATACGCAATCTGTCGGAGGACGACAACATGCTGAGCCAGCACCTAGGCCACAGCCCTCAGAACACGGTGCACTTTTTGCCAGGCTTCTTCACAGGCGGTGGGCAGAGCACAGCCCGGATGGCTTCATCAAACACCGTCTTCAAGCCCCGCTGCGTCAGGGCAGAGCATTCGAGGTACTTTACCGACCCTGGGGAAAGAGAGCTCCAGCTCAGCCACTCCAGTCCTACCAGGTAATATTGTCCCTCACCCAGTTCAAAATAAAAAGCACAGTCCCATGTGCTGGGGATTTTGCCAGCACATTCAACTCACCAATCTCCCGAGCCATGGCCAAACCTTGGGGGTAGGTGATAGGGGCCAGTTTCTTATCACGTAGCCTTTCAATGGTGTCCTTATCATCCCTCAAGTCCAGTTTGGTGCCCACCAGAATGATAGGTGTATTCGGGCAATGATGTCGGACCTCAGGGTACCACTGAAACAGAGAGGCCAGATGAGAACAGTAGCTACGGCAGGAGATGCAGCCACGCGGATGCTTCTACTATTAGGAGCAAGATTTTTAGTAATATCTGACATGCTGGCAACACCTGAACAAGATACTTCTGCCTGTAGTTCTAAAGATGCTCTGCAGAAAGAGACTGGTGTAGATGTAATAATGAAGGCACAGAGACAAGGAATCATGACAGACAGTATCAGCCAGCTCAGCACACACAGATTCCCTTAACTCCATTTTAGCTTCTAGGACATCCCAACCCTTGTCTTCTTTAAGACTCCGATTCCAAGAGGCAAAGACTTGGCCAAAGAACTCATTAATACAAAGCAGGCCCCACTTAAACCCTACAGACTGTGACCTTCCCTCTCAAATAATGAGTGCTAGAGATTATGGCGTTGTAAGCGTGATGCTGGGTGGGGATACGGGACTTCACTGGTTCCTCCCTTCCACTGCTTCCCCTGTCAGGAGAACGCATTACCTTGGCTCTGACATTCTCAAAGGATGCTGGACTCACAAGGGAGAAGCAGATCAAGAAAACATCCTGTGTGGAAACAAGAGGGTCAGTCACGTGGAAAGGAACAGCTAGAGATAATGGAGGGAGGGTGGAGAGGGAGCCTTACAGAGGACAACTTCCTCTCACGAGCAAGGACTGTGGCTGTAAATAAACTGTTCCCCATTAAGGGGATGAAAATAATTCACAGAGGGAAGAGTTGGACTTTGGGTGTATGACTTCATCCTGATGCACAATACCGGGCTCTACATGTTAAGAGCTTGTGGCCACAAATACCTTAACTGCGGTACTGTCTTCACACCTGGTGGCGAGAGTAGCAATCACTACAGGCAGGGAAACACTACTGGCACAGCCCAATAGCGAGCTGTGCTATTGAGAGAGAATAGGAACATGGAACATTGGTTGACTGCACAGCAGCCCCACTATATTCCTTGCACCAGACCCTGCCAATAGCATGTGTCACTGTTCAAACGCCATTACAATTTAGAGCCTAGAATGGGATGATCTGTTGGGAGAATTTCAGCTGTGATCCTCCTTAAACAATCAGAATTTTGGCTGCAGCTGCAGGAACTTAAAACTTTCCTTAAAGGAAGGAAGCCTGCTTGCAATCTGGCTATCCTTGGGAGCTGCCCCGTCCACAACAGGGAACAGTTACAAGTCAGTCTACGCCCAGCACTCACCGTCTGTGGATAAGAAAGAGGCCGCAGTCGGTCATAGTCCTCTTGCCCTGCTGTATCCCAGAGGCCTAGGTTCACTGGCTTTCCATCTACCATGACATTGGCAGAATAGTTATCAAACCTGCCAGGGAAGAAGCCTCATCAGTGACAATCTTGTTATGACCCACATGTGACTTAGACAAAATCCACGTGGGTGGTCAATCAGGAGGGGACACTGTGGAACACAGTTCCAGTGGGGGGATACTCTGCCCTCCACACACACAGCTGTACTACTGGCATCGTCCTCACATGTGCCATTCATAGCCTGAGCGGGGACAGACTTCTCTCCACCTATAAAGTCAACTTTTACACATATATGCATACTGAGCAAAGAACAACTTAAGCCGAGGGCCACTACTCACACAGTGGGGATGTATTCTCCAGGAAAGGCATTCGTGGTGTAACTGATCAGCAAGCAGGTCTTCCCTACAGCTCTGCAGAGGATGAGAGTGACAAGCATAAAGAAGGGTACAGCAGGAAGCAACAAGGCAGGAAAATTTACCCTTTGCCTTACCCCAAAAAGGGATTAGGCAAAAAGTTAACATGTGAGGAAACAGTTCTGTAGCAGGCTGGAGTTCTCTAGCTGTCAGGGACCAGGTCTGAACTCACCATATGCGCCCTGCCTGAGCACGCATCTGACCCTGCTCTTCCACTCCTTTTCCCCACCCCTTCAGCCCCAGCAATGAACCAGGCAAAATGTATTTGTTCCAGGAACCGAAAGAGAGGGAATAAATTGGAGTTCTGTGCAGAGCTTGCTGTTGCTCAACGTACCCAAAATAATCTAGCAAAATAGGTAAACAGTGAGGTAAACAAATTAGGAATAATTCATAATTATTCAAGCTCCTCAGATATAGGAATTCAATGACAATAAACACAAAGGGGAAAAAACCAGGTACATATAAACAAAAATGAACTTTAAATTGACTACTATCACTTTGGAAAGAGATGTTGGCATCAATGTAGATCACTAAAAATATCAGCCCAAGACTTTGCTGAAGATAGGTGGGATCGGAGGACCCAGTGGTGGCAGCTGGCATGGGTTTGGACCTGGTTGACAACAGAGTTAACATATGAACTTTAGTTAACCCTATAGGATAAGAGAGCAGCTTAGTTATAAAAATAGAGGAGTACCATGTGTATAAACAAACCTATTTATCACTGTGAAAGTTGTGAACTGTGGAGAACTTTCCAGAGGAGCAGACTGAGAGCTCCAGCAACAGGGACAGCTGGCTGTTAGGTGCCTGAGTGAATCTGAACGGGCCAGTTGGGAGTCGAGTATTCTCTACCTAATTTTGTAACTGAAGTAACATGGGGAGAGACTCCAGGGGTAAGAGAAAGACCCTAGGGGACCCCATGGACCTGCAGCAGGACTATGCATAGCACAGCTGGAACCCTACACTAATCCATCCATATTTTCCCCCGGATTATGTACCCTCTCCTGTGGAAAGGGGTGACCGTGTAAGGATCCACTATGCTGATCTGCCCAACTTGCCTCCTGGACCATGTGCTCTCTCCTGTGGAACAGGGAAGTCAAGTAATTCATAGAAGTTGCATGTATCTGTGATTTAAGTGTTTTGGTACCTGAGTTAATTTAGTCTCCACACTGTTAATTTGGTCTTAAACTATGACACCAGTATGCAAACCTTCAGCTGAAGTCCATTTCCAACACATCCTGCTTCCAGTTGCTGCTCTCCCCTCCCCAGTGAGGCTGTGCTGTTTTGGTGGGTGGCTCTTCTTCCTACTCCCCTCCTTAGCCGCTCGGGCTGGAACCTAGAAGATCTCACTCCAAATGCATATTTGAGGGGGTGGCATACACGGGAAGCTAGATAGACTAGTCCCTGCCTAAGACTAGTTCACATTTAGTTCTCCATCTCAGCTCTGTCTTTGCTGTGGTGATTGGAAAAGCAAATGGAATATTAGGAAATATTAGGAATTATGTACAGGACAAGCTAGGAAAAGTTACTAAGCACAATAAGTCTACTGCATGCCCACGAATATAGATGCGCTTTCAGAAAGAGTCACATAGAAAAAGCCTGGAAAAAAAGAGCAAGAAGGATGTCAAGAGGCGCATGGTGAGGTTAGAAACAACAACACTTCACCTCGGGACACAGACAACAAAAGGAGATTTGAAAGAAGCCTGTGAACATCGTGACTTTCAGGGGGGTGACTGTGATAAGTTATCCTTGTATGAGGAAAAATAAGGGAACGGATTTACAGCCAAAGAAGAGAAGGAATTTGCTTTCCACGCACTACGCCGTTTGACTTCGGGAGTCACTCGCGCTAAGAGCCGAAGACCGGAGGGGCCGGGCGGGCTCAGGG